GGGGTTTTGAGGCTTAACTACTTTGAAAAGGTAAGTTACTCTGTTTTCATAATTTCTAATCTGCTGGTAAGGAGCAACAGACCCTTGAATTACTGGTGCTGTGGCTCTGATGTGCTCTGCTGCATGCCAGAGATCTTGCCAGAAACCAAAACAGCATCGTAGCACTAGGAGTTTCTAGGGACAGAATAAAAACCAACCAAGAAAGCATCACTATGTCATTGCATAAATATATCTACACCTTAAACACTGTGTGCATTGTTCATCCCTACGGAAAAAGAATGTAGCAGGACTTTCAGAGGAGTGGGGTAGGGTAAGAAGGATAGCCAAAGGTAGAGAGGGGTACCTCTCTGTGGAACCATTAAAGTGAATTTGTAACTTCACTCTCACAGAAAATGAAATATGACAGAAATTTCTAAGAACATTTTTCATTGTATCTGCAAAAAATTAGAGGCATCAAATGAAACAAGCAGGTGGCATGTCCAAACCTAAATGAATTATTTAAATCACAGAGATCATCATCCTAGGACATTTTGGATCTTGAAAATTACATTTGTTCAAAAGCAGCTGGACTAAATCACGGGAGAAAAACAAACAACAACAACAACAACAAAAACCAGCAGAAGTTTCAAAACACAAAACTTCTGCCTCACAAAGTCTCTGAACCGTTGGAGACTGGGACAGTATTCTGGGGTAATGATACTTAATTTCCCTGGGCCCTGTCTGAGTAAAAACAGCCAAGTGACTGGGTAGCAGACTGGCTGACCTGCTCTGACCTCCTGCTCATCCCATTTTTATTGAGATGTCCCAGCATGTTTCTGCAGTGCATCAGAAGTTTTTTTTCCAAGCACAGGATTTATGCTCACAGACTGACTTTATAGTTTTGACAAGTCAACATCCACCAGTGAAAATTCTTCTTAAAGGAAATATTCTGACCCATGGAAACTTTAATGTTCAAGCTGTAAATTCTAATCTTCTTGAGATATGCCTCTATCAGTATGTAGAGTATTTTACATTTCTTTCAGAGGGAGATGATAATCTTCGTATTTTGAAAACTCTCAGAAACTGATTATTTAGAGCAATATAAAATTTTCCCACTATGTGGCGCCAAACAATTAAAAAGCGGTTGTGCTTTTAAAGGGAGCCATGGAACTTCTCATAAACCATAGTTTTCCTAAATAGAAAAAACCTTTATTAGTAACTAAAGTAACCCCAGATTCTTCCATTCACAGGTACCAAAGCACAAATACTAGGGGCTATTTAGATAAAATGCTGGTTTTCTGTCACAGAAGGACAAATTGTAGCCTTTAACCAGCAACATTTTAAGTCCTATCATCATCATTGAACAGGAACGATCTTTCTCCCTTCCCCTCCTCCACTTACATACTAACTTTTAAGTTTTTTAAGAAAGGTCAAGGTACTTTTAAATTTATTTGAACATCACTTGAAAATTATCTGTTTATTTATATCACAGTTTTGTAATTGCAACTAGTATAAAAAAATTTTTTCTATTGCAAGTCTCAAATATGTACATCATCATTACAAAGAATCAACACAAAAATAAGCTTAGAGAAGATAATATGATTTAAGATTTTGGAATCACAAAATGTTTCCTGGCATATATTTCCAATTGTAGACCCACATACCAATCTGAAATACCTGAACTTAAATGGTTGCAACGCTTATCTATGTAAGAAAGAACCAGAAGAACTCCTTTTGTCATGATGGGGTAAGGTTCTGATCCAGCATGTCCAAGTCACGTTCGACATATGCAGGAAAGTCTCATAAACCCAAAATTTTACATTCTAGTGGCAGGTTCGGTGACAGCTTGATCACCTCTGTAATGTAGCTAGTGGCATTTTTTTGGATTAGCTTCGTCCTCTAGAGTAGATGTTTTGCAGTACAATCTTCATAATACTTTAAAACAAATGAGGTTATTGTTTAGTAAGATAATGAAGAACTTAGAGTCTTCTCTCCTGTATTAAGTCAATTACAGACAGTAAAGAAGCCCATGGCGCACTTCTTCAGCCCACAGGGAGGCTAATACTTAGGAGTCCTCGTTAGAGAGGCAAATGTTTCATCATGTTTTGACTTTGGTTTACTTCTGTAGTAAACCAGCTAACAGATGATCATTCCAAAGTGCAAATACCTGGTCTTGCATTTTGCTTCTACAATGTACTGCGTATCAGGTGTTTTGCATTTTCTGCACGTATTTGCAAGAATTTGTGCAGGTTTATTATTGCTTGCATGCAACTTCCATCAGTGAGAACAGTAAGGAGAAAGAACTCTCTTCCTTACGTGTATAATAGTTTTCTGCGTCTTTGCCTGGAAGATTTATGGCTTTCCCTCTTGCTTTTTAATTACAAAACAAAGTTATGTTTCATTCTATGCATCCTAGTTGTTCCACTGGTAATTTTATTTCCATCAGTAACTGACCACAGATTCTAGCCATACTTCTAGCCACTCTTCTACATACTTCACAGCTAAGAGTAGTTGAGAGAAAATCCTGAATACCCCTATTCCTTCTTCCAGAATATTTTTTTATGCCTCTTTGTGTATCGCTATCGAGAGCTGCATGACTGTAAAGTATTTTTGTTACTCCAGGGCAGAGAAAATGTCAATGCACAAAACAATCTGAAAGAAGCACTCATTGAGTGAGCAGGCTTTGCTCTCCCTCTTGCGGTCCAAGCACGTCATTCCCGTAGCCTCCACTAGTTCTGTGCACTTTGAATTCAAAAGCTTTCTGCACGCTTGGGTGTACACAAAGAGAGCGTGTCACTACTGAAGTTTACAATATGGTCAAAGTTTTCATTAAATGCCAGTGCTAAAGCATTTGGTATAGTGTTTGTTGGGAACCAAATGTTGATCTTGATTCTTTTAGCTAGATCTTGTAATCTAAAAAAGCATTTTTTTCAATTTAAATGTTTTTGATGTAGCTTGAACACTCTACACAGAAAGTATAGGACAGAAAACAATGCACTTTTTGCTATACCAACAATCATGCTTTTAATGCATTTTTCAGCGACCAGTGTTAAAAAAAATGCATGAGGTACTTAGGAAAGTACCAGCAAATTAAGCAGTTTCAGGAAAGTTGTTGGGATACTTTAAGGTCACTGCAAGTGAGTGGAAAATTGGAGGCTGTACTGAACTGAATAGGAAAAAATGAAATTCTGTGTATAACCAGATGGGGAATATTTGAGCTTGCTTTTAAGACCTTTTTATTTTTTTTTTAACTGAAAAATTGCACTTCCAATGACTCACAGATGAATGTGAAAAAGCAGTTTACTCTGCACACCTACATTAGAAATAGCCACCAGAGGAAGGGTGAGGTGTGGTTTGTTTATGCAGCAGAAGAGTCTGTAAAGCATTTTGCCTCCCTAAGTAACAACCCAAACAAAATACAATCCCTAAATCTCAATTCAAATCAACATGTGTACGAGGAAGATTTCTGTACATGCCAGACAAGCAACATACTAATTACTTTTTTCCAAATACTTTTTAATACTTTAGGCACACACACAGGCGGCTCGTTACCTGAGATGTACTCTCAGCTCTTTTCAGCCGTAGGGGACCAAGAGCCTGCTGACAGCATGACCCACCAGCACACGCACCTGCTGCTTCATCCTGTCTAGAACTAAAATACGAAGTGTGTTGTTACCTATAGGACAGGGCAGCTCTGCGAGACCCACTCAGCCCATAATATCCCCAGCACTGCCCCGCGGGCTGTACGGTTCCAACCCTCCGGTTTGTACTTGACAAATAACCCTCCAACAAGGTGTGAAATTTAGATTGCAGTAAACCCACGCTGGAGCCGAGGAACGGCAGGGCAAGGGGATACTTCTTCCTAACATCGTCTCCGAAATTAAGAGGGAAAATTCCTAATTCACACAAGAACTTTGAAAACTGGTACGGGGAAGGACTACAGGCGGGCCGTCCCTTCCTGGGACCCCTGTGCCAGCCTTCCCCAGGCAGCGCTGGCTCCAGCCAGCCTCCCTCCTCCCTCCGTCCGAGCGGCCCCGCCGGGGCCGCAGCACGGGGGACAGGCGGCGGCCCCGGGAGCGCACCCCGCCGGCAGGACAACGCGGCGGGGCCACCCCGGCCCGCTGCCCGGGAAGGGCCCGCGACTTCGAACCCCATGCCGGCTCCCGGGCCGGCCGAGCCTCGCAAGCCCCGCCCGGGCGGCCCGCCGGGGGCGGCCCCGCTCCTCAGTGGCCGCCGCGGCCGTCGCTCAGGCGGGCGCGCCGCTCGCCGCGGGGATGGCGGGGCGGGCGCCGAGGGGCGCGGGCAGCGCCCACAGCCCGGACGGCGCCCGGCGCGGCGAGCCACGGCCGGCCAGGTTTGACCTCCCTTTCGCTGCCCCCTTCCCTCCCTTGGCGAGCCCGGCTCTCTCCCGGCCGGGTGTCGCTCCCCGGCGGCGGTGGCGCGGCGGCACAGGCGGCGCGGTGCCCCCCCGGGTGACACCGTCGGGTGGCGTCGGGGGATGCTGTGTCAGGTCACCGCGGTGTGTCGGGTCACGGCAGGACCACGGGGTGCCGCGGGCGGTGTCCCCGCGGCGGGGACTGGCGGGCTTGAGGGCGGTGTAGGTCCCGCGGGCTCCAGGCTCCTCTCGTCCAGTTGGCAGTGCCGCTGCCGCATCCCTGCTGTCCTCCCAAAAATAGAGGAGCAGGAAGAAAACAACTCCTAAACAAACGAGCAAAATTGAGATACTTTTGAAATACCTACACTGCAAGATTTCGGAATGTCACGTAAAAATTAAACATTGGTATTTGGTGTGATGTCACGCTGCGACCGTAAAAATTGCTGTCATCAGGCAAAGGACATAAAACGATCTTGTGTGCTTTAATGTTGTTTGCTGCACGCATTTGACACTGGTCAAATGCAGATGCGGATGAGCCCTCAGCTGTGCCATTTCCCTGGGAAGCCGAGCAGGCAGTAATGAGCTGGGAGCCATCAGCCTGGCCCCTGAAATCAGGGGGGCACGCGGGGGTCTTTGCCTGGGAGTGGAGTGGGGGGGCCCTGGCTGACTATGTTGTTTCACAACAAACTTCTCTGGGGACCAAACTTCTCAATATCTAGGAAGCAGTAGAATGAGATTTCATAAATGAGATTTTGAAGGAAGTTTTGAACAGTTTAGGCTACAGTTTGTCTGAACACAGAATTATGCAAAATGAGTCAAATGGAAAATAAAGTTACCAGTGTTTGGAGGTGAGTAAGGGCCCCGGCCAGCAACAAACTTGAGAATGACTTCCTTGATTCCTAAACAGGTCCACTTTGTATCTCATCATTTCCCTTCTCCAGTCCAACCTTTATGGCTCCAGAAAAATTTGTAAGTGTCGATGAAAACGTGGAAGAAAGGGACCTGAAATTCGAGAGGTATAGTCCAAATGCATTTGGGCTGGTGAACATTTTGCGATGGTGAGGTATATATTTGTGCAAACCCATGCCTGTTGAAACGGAAGAACTTAGCAAGCTTTCTCCAGCATAGAAAGGACATCCAGAACATATGGACAGAATGTGAAGCATTTAGTTAACAAAACACTCAGTTTTGTTAAAAAGAGAGGAAAACACTTGACAGTACGATAAGGAATATGTAAATTTTTTAACATGCTTCAAAAAGCTAGAACACTGTTCCCTCCTTCTCCCTGTAGTGTATTTTGATAATTTCCAAGCAGACGGCAAAGAAAAGGAAATTATATCAATGCCTCTGGGGAGAATGTGACATTCTGACTTCTTGAAGCCTAGAAAGAGGTTTATAAACTTAAAAAATGAAAATGATGAATTTAATCTTTCCAGACTTGTCAAACTTGTCTCAATTAATTTTTGATGACATAATTAGAACTTAAGGCTTTAATGTGTGCTTTTTTAGTTTACTTTTCAAAAGATTTAATTTTTAAAGACTCGGGGGATACAGAGGGCTTTGCGGTGGGAACTGGAGCAGGAAGAAGGGGTGGACTCTGAGTAGGTTTGAGTGCTGATTCAGAGTACTCTATTAAGCCAAGAGAGATGAACTCATTTTTTTCCTCCCTTGGGGAATCGGACAAGAAACAGGAAGTCATTGATTCTAAGTAAGATCATTCACTCTGCAATTGTAAACAGTGTATTATGTGCCTGTAAATATTTTCAGAACCCATTGGCTTGTTGGAAAATGCGAAGTAAATTATTACGATGTCTAGCAAACAACCCACCATAAAAAAAAGGTTATTTTCAATCTTTTTATCTGTAATGTTTATACAGTGGAATATTAATTAGCTTGGACATTGAGAAACTACTTGGCTGGACACACTGTTCACTGCCAGAAATCCATCTACTCAAATGTTTTGTCTGTTGAAAGACAAACATTTTTAACTCCACCCTGTAATATTGTGTCCTACCGAAACGCAAAAATTCTTTCATTACTTGATCCGTTTGGGTTTTCACTGCCACAAACACTGAAATATCCCACTGTTAACCAGATGTTGGCTGCGTCCCTTTTTGTCTCATGTAGCTAAATAGACAATCTAATAGCAAACTGCCACTCCTCATTACTTAGGAGAGCAGCGTCCAGGCTGTCTGTCCAGATCAACCTGCAGCTGAAACTTTTTCTTCCCTCTGTCAAGTAGGAGAAGCTGCTGCTTGGAAGTGCCACCTTTTCCCTTTGAACAGGGGGATTCTGCATAAGGAGAGAAGAGCACGGATTAGGGACAGGACAACGGTGAGCAACTTGCTTCCCTGACAGTCAAAGGAATTTTCTGCCAAGCTTAAAAGATGGGAGGGGAACGGTAAAAGACACAATAGGTGTCTTGGTCACCTCGAAGGATAGCAGTTGAAATGCTTGTGTACTTAAAATTTAGAACTCGAGTGTTGTAGGATTGGCTCAGGAAACTATCTTAATAACATGCATAAATCCTAGTGATTCCGTGGGGATTCCCAAGTGGGAGATTCCTGAATAGGGATGGTTGTAACCTCTGGCTTAGCAGCTTGAATCATAGTTTGCAGGACCAAGAGGAAGAAAGAGCCAAGAATGGAGCAGTTATCTTCAGACAAGTGAATGTGGTGAAAAACTGACAAATTTTATTCAGTTTTTATTTCCTAATTTTTCTTCTAACTTAAGATATGGAGTGAAAAAAACAAGGAAATTAGGGTATGGGACAGGAAAGATTTTGAGCCAGCTTTTCACCTGTTGAGCTATGATGAACTTGAGAGTAATGCAAGACATGGGAAATTTAGAGGAGAACTAGAAAATATTACTGTAGTGAAGTGAAGGACTTTTTGGAATCTTGCTCATGACTTTGATCTGTCTTGTGATGCTTTGCCTTTACCTTTTTTCTTCCTGTTGTCAGAAGCAGTGGAAAAGATAAATGCATAGGTCCAGCTCCAGCTGAGGAGTATCAGCTGGGGCTACCTCCTCCAACGAAACTAGGCTTCTGAAGGACTGGAGAAGTCATGAGAAGGGGAGCTCTCCAAGTTGTTACATATTAATCCATGCTAACTGTGTCAAGACTTGCAGTATGGAGATCTGTATTACACATGATTTTCCTTCGTCACACTGAAAATAGTGGCTACTTGCCTTTCCTTGTGAGGATCTTACTGTTCATGGCATAGGTGACAAACATGCAATATAACCTTATGTAGTTTTTTCTTTGTTGTTGCCTTCCATATGCCTTCCACTGAATGGAGTTTTTATATCTGTTTGTAATTTCTGAGATAAATTGGGTACTTAGATGCTATTCAGGCTTCATTTTCAAAGCAACACTTAAGTGTTCAAAGCTCTGCAAAGGCTGGGGCCTTTACTTAGCAAGAGAACTTCTTGGACTGAATGGTTACATTCAGCCATCCACTTACTCTTTATTAAACTGTCTACAAACATTTGGAACACAGCAGAGCCCAGCCCTTCTGCTTGCACACAGATGATTTTCTTGGCTTCTCTGACTCAAACCATGATGAGCCAGCTCTCATCCTGAATAATTTTTCCAGTACTGCTTGTCCAGAAGGGCACTGAGATTAGTTTCCAGAAGGCATGAGCAGTTAAATGGGGATAAAAGCACAGATTTGAAACCAAAACATGCATGAACTAAGCTGTCCTGAGATCTGCAACACCTAATGCAAAGGGATTGTTTTTCGTGTGTGGGGTCTGTTAGGAACCATTTGCTCACCTGCCTTTGCATTTGGAATCAGAAGCTCCCCTTTGCATCTCATTAAGGATATTCAATTTTAAACCAAATTTGATTAGGCATTAAGAATTTTAAAACACTTTAAAAAGAGTCATCTGCCAAACATTAAACTTGCATAAAACCAAATGTTCTACTAACACACAGGCAGTTACACCTATGTAAGGCATTTCCTAAGCAAAAGCTCAGTTCTCTGCAAGCCTCTGTGTAAGAAAGGATATATACAGTAACTTAAGTTAAAATCTGTAAAGTGTCTCTGCTTATCAAGGAAAACTAATTGCAGCCCCAGAATTTTCAGAGAAATTAAAATGTGATAAATCAAAGTATTAACAACAAATATTTCAGAGTTTGATAGTTATGGATAGGACTTTTGTAAACTAGTGTATTTTTACTAAATTTTATGAAACTGTACATATATAAAATTTGTGCACTTAAGATTTATATAAAATAGGTTAGTATGCATAGTAAAAAAGTCAGGCATTAAATACATACTCAATTTGATATGGGGATTTTTTTCCCTTTCTTTTTCCAGCATAAATATGGCTGAACTTTCGGAGCCAGAAGGTACTGTAAACTGGAAGGAAAGATGTTTAACTTTGGAGTCACAGTTAATGAAATTTCGTCTCCAAGCAAGCAAGATCAGAGAATTGTTAGCGGAAAAGGTGGGTCTCATCATATGAATTTTAATGCTCTATAAATTATTTTATAATGGGGACTGCTCACATGTCGTGGTTTGAGATTACAAGTACTGAGATTTTTTCAGAAGGCATTTTAAAACAAAATACATGGAAAACAGGTATGTTTTAATGCTGTAAAAGAATTTCACACATCAGAATTGCCAGAAAGAAATGTTCATTTTCAAATAAGAGCACACTGGCAACTCTTCTGCAGAAAAAAAGATGTATCCAGTAATCACTTTTACAACATTGAAGTTAATATTTAACACATTTATTATTTAAGATTTAGGACACAGAAATCATTGCAGAGAAAATCCAGTAATATTATTTTCCCCAGTATTTCTGACTGAGTCATGTAATTTACCAGATTTTATTTTCCTATAATAAGACACCTCCGACTACGGCTTATCACCTGAGTCTGGGGACCCAGGAAGTTGGAAAGTATTGTATCATTTAATTTGAAGAATATTGTTTAAATATATACTTAATTGCTATTAGAAAGCAGTGTAGTTAGAAACTCTAAACTGTTTACCTAATCTTGCAATTTTGCTGTATGGCAAACCCTCATTGAAGAGGTGTTGCAGAATATTAGGTTTTGAAAGAACAATTAGCTGTTTAAAAGCCATCCTTTGAAATTTCATTTAAGAATAAAAAAAAAGAATAAAAAAGGACTAAAAAAGAATAAAAAAAGCTACTTGTGTCTTTCATTCCAGTTTGCAAGGCTCACAGATAACCTAATAAGTTACTATCATCAGTCTTGGAGGAGAACATCCATCAAAGAGTACAATAGTGGCTGCTGTAACACTCCACAAGATTATTGGATGCTTACACAGTTGGAGCTGTTAGGTCATACATATCTGTTCTGTCTCTTTACCCCGTTTGGATCACTGCATTTCGGGATTCGGGATGGAAGTCCAGTGGCTAAACAGTGGACATGACTTTTCTGGGAACCTTCCAGCAGCCATAACTACCATGTTTTATGTGGCTGCTGCTGATTATAGTTTTGGCAACCAAAAAGTTAAGATTCATGAACAGCCCTTCACAAAACAATTTGAGTTTAAAGAACAATATTTTAGAAATTTGAATGCTTTCTATTTGACTTTTCACTTTGTTCCTTTACAATTTTCATTTACAGGCTGTTAACTGCTAGAAATATCCCCTTAAATTAACAGAAATATATGCATAATCATATAATTTCAAATATTGGCATTAAAAATCCCCAAACAAACAGAACAAGGGGGATAAAATCACAAATCTTCAGCACTGTGCCTGAAACAAAGCACTCAAAGGCAAATTACGCTCTCATATCTGTCATAAACATGACTTGAGAATAGTTTAAAAAATTTTAAGCACTTGTCATGTTACTGCCCTTTTGTTTTGGTTTGCCTTATCTTTCTCAGAAATTTTAGAAAAAGTAAAGTGTTTACAGGAATTACAAATGGGAGAAACATTTTCTGGCAAAGACCACAGGTCCACCAAGTATTCAGTTGGGATAATTTGATATGCTGTTCTGCAGAGCAGAGCATTAGCAGACTTCCTGAAAAATGATCCTTCTCCTTACTTTGTCACTTTGACTTCATGATATGAATCTTTCACTCACCACCTGGAGTTCAGCAGGGATATGCATCCAAGACTGGTTAGAGCTCAACAAAATGAGATGATATTCATTTGCAAACTTAGCAATCTTGAAGAATTCAAAACCAACCATGTTCAAAAAAGAGAACTAAAGTGTTTGTATGTATTTGCGCGTTGGTTTTGTTTGCCAGTAATCCAGTGGTTATTTTTTCCACATATTTAGTTTTTCAAATGACACAAACAATTCTCAGTATTTGTTAAAGGAAAGATAGACTCACAGTAATTTGAAATTAAACTGCATGGAACTGTTTCTCACAAATATATTTGAGAAATAGCAAAGTGAATAACGAAGTTCTGATTGGCCAGTACTTGATGATCATCCTGATACTAATGATGAGAACAATACAGCTGATGTCAGCTTTTATAGGTACTTCCTAGTACCTATTTATTACCTGTTACAGAATGAAACAAATTGGCAAAGCACACAAATAATTCTGACTCTCACTTTGATTAGCACAGGCCTTTATTTGTGGTTTTGTTTACAATCATCTCTATGCTATGAAATGTGTACTAAAACATTGAACAATAGCATCAGACAGTGTTGCACTTCAAAATAGCAACAGAAATCACAGTACTGTGGCGTGACAGACATAAAACCCTGTGGGTATTATACTATGTAATTGTTGTGTAAGAATGATATTGTGACAAACACAGGTACTCTCTACAGGAAGGTAAGAGAAATGAATTGGTGATAATTCTCTAGCCTTTCTCTGCATGTGTTTGAGAGATATCTCTTCAAGACAGTGAATCAGGAAAAGGAGTTTGCATCCTATTTACGCTATGTGTAGGGATTTTCAGAAACTGCCACTGAGTTTTGCCACTTGTATTTGCTGTATAACTTAGTCTAAAATGAGATTTAAATAAGGGATTGTTTGAATCTATCTATTTCCAATATTTGTATCTGTGACCTGTGTACTTCTGTAAATGTATTCAGGTTGTGGATTAATTGAAGTACTCTTCTTACACACTAGAAATTAAAGACTTCACATAGTTATCTTATTTAATATTGGCCCTGCAAATAAATGAGCAGTCAATATGAAAAGTCTTGAGTATGTTATTCCAGTAGATGTGTTCTGATTTAGAAAAACAAACTATTTACTGGTTTTGTAAGTTTAGTGAGTACTAATCTTTGAACCTTCGTGGTTGAGGAGGTTGAGAAATTTGCATTGTAAATGTGTTTCTGCAGTCTGGCAGAACTTAAACTTTTTAGTGAACTTGGGGAGAAGAAGAGAGAGAAGCAACAGAATACACAGTGTTTTCAGAAAACGTAATCCATTCACTGTTGTTTATTTGTTTGAGTTTTTAATATTTTTTCATTTTGCCAAGTAAAGAGTCTATATTTATAAATCTAACGTGCAAAGAAAGAGACCTTGTTGGAGTTTTAAGCAGAAGCTGCTGCTGTAAGTGGGAGAGGTCTTTACAGGAATTTAAGGAATGATGTAGAAAGTATCCTAGTATGCCAAATTTAGGATGGCTGTGCAACTGAGTTTTAAGCAGAAGCCTTTATTTTAATGCAGCTTGAGTCTTACGTATATGAAGAGTTTACTAAAAAAAAACTTTTTTGAATAAAAGATTACAATATTATACTGAAAGTTAAGCTTCCCGCTGGCATTTCAAGTCATAGGAAAAGTTACTGACCTTCATTGTTTTCATTTTTCACCTAAAATATGTGTGCAACATCAGGTGTAAAGTTAATGTTCTTTCTACTGCTAAAAAATTCTTTTAGTGGGAGAACTACATCACTGTGTTAAATTCCCACTTGACAGCCTCCACTGAATTTCTTTTTCATGAGACCCTGCAAGGACTGAATATGGCACTAACCCAAATGTTGCATTATGGGCTGTCCAGTAATACTCAGCATTCACATGAACATCTCCCAAGTTTGTTTCCTTCAGTGCTGAGGGTCATTATGTTGTGCATTAAGTTATTTTCATATGTATATTGGTTTGTTTGCTTTTAACCTTCCATTTGGATATTCTCAGTATACATGCTCAGCTGGCAACCAAGTGTGTAGACGATAAATGCCATAATATTTATACTTTCTGTGCAGTTTATGAAAACAGAATGATAACCAACTTTTAGGCCAAATACTATTTCTTACATATTCCAAAGCATAACACATTTCAGACTTTATCTTACAAACCAACAGCTAAATCCAGGTCCCACTGTATTTTTATTCATTTCACAGTCCTATTTATGGTATATCATTTGACCTTTGAAAATGAAGCAGATGCAGTATGTTTTGTGATCTCTGGCATGACAATTTCATGTTTAATGTTTTCAGAGGCAAAGTCTATAACATATTTGACTTATACAGTGATTGCTAATATGAAAATTGTAAAAAAAGCACAATGAGTATTTCCATTCAAGAGATTTTGAAGGGTAAGCTAAAAGGGAGCAAAGTACTATTGAAGCAAAATTATTCAAATGAAAGTTATTTTTCAGTATTTCATTGCTCTTAAAAGACTTCTTGTGATAGAAAATACATTCAGATGCAATTAAGAAGATATAGGAGAAAACAACAAGAGTTAAAGAGAATAAAAATTTCTATGGCTAGAGTTTTAGGTCTGTTTACACCTTTTTAATAGCTACGCATTTTTCTTAAAGTTTCATTTTTATGCCATGTCTATTATTAAGTTTATGATATGCCTTTTTATAACAGTAGAGGGGGTTTTTTGTTGTTTTTGTACATCTTAAAACTACATTCTTTCTGAGGAGGCTGGAGATGAAAAAAAAAAAAAAAGAACTCAGGAAGCAATAAATTAGCCTTTCTTGTAGGGGCCTGGCTGGGTAATGGCATGAAGAGCACAGCCCTTGCTGTGAGGCCAGAGGATTAATATCTTCCCTCAGGTGGTATGGAGATAAGGTCATCAATTCTATTCCAACCCACCTGAGATGGGGAAGTTTGTGGAAGCTGTTGATAGTGGGCAGCCACCTGTGCAGATTCTTAGCTGATCTAATATTTGTTTAGCATTTCATTTTTAGAAGCTACAAGATGTTTTTTCTACATTTTTCATGGTAGGAACTATTTTTGCTCTTAGAAATGGCACATTTAATTTTCATTCCCTTGGCAAGTATTTTCAGACTTTAAATATCTGTTGTCTTCAAATTGCAATGCGTAGCCTTATGTATACTTCTAGAATCTCTTGCTCCTTCAACATCTTTTTCCTGAGTGTCCTATACCCTTTAATTTCATTAATAAATTCAGTTTCAGTCAAGTTTTCAATTTGTAAAATGTTGGCAGTGAGTGGTACCTTTGATTCTTCAGCCATCCTCTCAGGCAGTGGCATGAAGACAGGGCCCTTGTTTCAGATGAACATTCATGTTGTGACTCTAATCAGAAGTCCCAA